TATACATCTACAATTTTTGTTATTATTATTTCTTTTAATAATTTAATAATTTTTATCAAAATTCATATACAAATTTCTAAATTAATTATAATTCAATATGGTAGAAAGATGAGTGCTCATGATGTCCCTCATTTTTAACATATATTGCTCATACACAGATATGACTTGAATATGTATAGAAAAAAATAAAAATACATAGAAATGTGATTTTTGAACACTAGTTATCTTGTGTTCCATTAAGAAACACAATGCCAAGGACACTATTTTGTATAAAAAATCTATTATAGAAAAATCTTTTTGTAGTTTAATATTAGAAAATTGCATTCATGTCAAGAGACCTTTAATATGTTAAGAATAAATTTATAGATATGGAATGATATATGAGCTATATGTGAAACAAAAATTATAAACATTGTAATATTATATCCTTGGCAAGAGATACTTTTAAATATGAGAAGGTTCACAAACAAAATAAATTTTAAACACTCTATATGATTTTTGTTTATACCTTTGTCTATTATTTTATTATAAATGAATTTTTATTTATAATTCTATTTTAATTTAATCAATTAAAATAATCAACTAACTAAGAAAAGACAATATTTTTTCACATTTTTAATAAAATGTTTTTTAATACTATAAATAAATATTTGTTTTAGTTTTTTTATTATATCTTTATTTTAATTTTCTCTTATTATTTATTTTCATTATATTTCATTTTATTATAATCATTTATTAAAAATTGAAAGAAAAATTGCATCTGTACTTTTATTTTTTATATATTTAATAAATGAATGAATGAAATGAAAATATGTATTTTTTTATATTTCTTCCTAAATCCAATAAATTTATGGAATAACTTTCGCCGATAAGTTAGGCAATGATTGAAAAATTTGATCAGCACCATCTCGCGTTTGGATCTCTGAACTTTCAATTTGTTATTAGCATAGCAGAATATGCAAGAAGGTATTCGAAGTCATAGACAAGGAAAGCAATATTGTGCAAAAAGACAGAGAACATTTTCCACCATTTCAAAAATGCTACATAGAAAATTTATTAATTATTCATTTATTATTCAAAATTTCGTCACTTTTAAGCTTATATTTGGAAGTTAGAATCTCAAACAAGTTTCTCCTATCAATTTTAATATGAAATTCTTCTCAATTAATTATTTATTAATAAGTAATATATTACGAAGAATTGACGCCATTGATACGCAATTTTTCAATAATATAGAATTTATTTTTAAATATAATTACATGCATTTAAAACGTTGTTTCCTCTACTATTTTTATATATAAATTTTATTTATAACTTTTTTATTATTTAAATGAATAAAATAATTGTTTATCAATCGATTATATTATAGAAATTTATAACTGAGGCATTCTTTATAATAATTGTTAATAAAGAATTATTAAAAAATAAGAATTTTAAGTAGAAAGTAATATGAGAAAGCTGTTTAAAAGTGTAACTTCAAGATATAAATTTAAAAATGCCGAAATTTTCAGTAAAAAATGAGTAATTAATTAATTTTCAATACGGCGTCTTCGATCTATTAGATATTATAATGTGTCAATTATTAATAACTAATTAATGGAAAGAAATTTTATATTAAAATTAATATGAGAAATTTCTCTACAGTTTTAGCTTCAAGATACGAGCTTAAAAGTGCCGAAATTTTCAATAAAAAACGAATAATTAATTAATTTTCAATACGGCGTCTTCAATTTATTAGATATTATGATGCGTTAATTATTAATAACTAATTAATGAAGAGAAATTTCATACTAAAATTATTATGAGAAGCTTCTCTACAGTTTTAACTTCAAGATGTGAGCTTAAAAGTACTGAAATTTTCAATAGAAAATGAATAATTAATTAATTTTCAATATGGCGTCTTGGATGCATTAATAACTATGATGCGTTAATTATTAATAAACAATTAATTGAGAAAAATTTCATATTAATATTAATATGAAAAATTTGCTTGAAGGTTTAGCTTCAAGATAAGAACTCAAAAGTGTTAGAATTTTAAGTAAAAAATGAATAATTAATTAATTTTCTATTAGCAATGTTTTCAAAATGGTGGGAGATGCTTTCTATCTTTCTCGCACAATATTGTTTTCCTTGTCTATGACTTTGAATACCTCCTTACATTTCTGCTATATTAATAACAAGTCGGAGCTTCAGTGATCCAAACGCGAGATGGCGTTGATCAAAATTTTTCAATCATTACCTAACTTATCGGCGAAATGTAAGTATATTTAGAAGTTTGTAACATAAAAAAAAAAATTCGGGAAATATTTCATAAAATGATATAAATATTTGCTCGAAAAAATGTTTAAATGGAATTTGTATACAAATATACTGAAATAAGAAATTCGCAAAATTATTAGAAAAATTATAGAATTTATTGAAAAAAAAGATGAAATAAAAGAGACAAAAAAATATAAAAATATATTGTAAAGTATAAAAATACAAAATAATATATATAAAATATATTATAAAATATAAAAATATAAAATATGCAATATATAAAATATACACAAAAGTACAAAAATATAATATAGAAAAACTAATTGATACATAAAATATATTATTGTTAATAAGCAAAGAAAATAATAGAGTTTGTTAAATATCAGAATTATTATTTGAATGTATAAATTTTTCTGAAGACAAAAAAATGCATTTAACATTAAATCTATTTTGTATCTTGTCCTCAAGAAATAAATTTTCGTGCTGAGATAGATAGGATAACAAATAACAAATAACATATTTAATTTCATAAACATAATTTCGTTTATTATCTTACTATATTTAGAATCACAATGAAAATACATTTATACATATAATGTACAAATTAAAATGAAATTTATCTATTACAGATCATAAATTATTGGTATTTCTATTTAATTACAAGTGAAAGCTTTTATTTATGTAAGTATATTTGTAAATATTAAATAAGATTAAAATGCTACTTACACTTGTGCTTGGCATATGTTTAATATTAAACATTCAAAGATATTTATAGCTAAATTTTACACTTCTAAGTACTAAATACTACCGCATTTAAGGAACAGCAGCATTTATGACTTATTTTCTCATTATTTAAAGAAATTTATATTATGAAATAATATGTTATAATCTAATTATATTCAATTTATTACATATAAAAAAATGTAATTTTATAAATTTTAATATCTGTAAAATTGCAATTACATTAAATTAAAAAAAAATTGAAATTGATTTAATATTGCAAACTAATTACTAAAAAGCAAATTTCATTTATGAACAAAATTATTCTTTATAGATTAATTGATAATAATATTATTTTTTTATTCTATAATTAGAAAATATATTGTAAGTTATTAAATTTTTATTTAGTTTAATGCACAAAGGTATTTCCTATTGAAAAATTTTGCAAATATAATATTTGTTTGTTTATTATTTTATTATCAGCTTAAATTAATTAATAATTTATTTCTTTTTTAAATATATCACATTTTTATAAAATATTTTAGGAATATTTCCAAATGTAAAATGCACGATTGATGTATTGAAAATATTTTATGCAATAATATAAAATAAAAGAAATATCATATTGAATTATAAATTGAATATAATTATGATAATATTAAACTAAAAAGGTGATAAAAAAATGTTTTTTTTATTATTAAATTATAAAAAATATCAATTTTCACTTTTTAAAATGAAGACAATCAAAAATCAGATTTAATTTCAAAAGTAGTATTATTTTATAATCAGTCTATCCCTTTAAAAATATTTTTTTCAATATTTTTTCTTGGAATATATTTTTATACATATTTGCTTGTTTTCATTATAAAGGTGAGATATATTAAATTCAATATTGTTTGCATATAAAAAATTGTTTTATGCTCTTAATTATTTTTTATTATTATACCATTTTACAAATTAAAGTATGAATAAAAAAAATATACAATGTATTTGAAATATTTAGTATCCCCTGATATCAATTAAATAATATTCTCTGCTTCATATAAAATAGTAAATTATATTATTATAATACTAATTAATATGACACAAAATATATGAAACTTTTATGTACCAATCATTTACAGCTATATATTTATTGTCTTGTTTAATTTATTTATGTAGCTGTATTTTATAAATTTTTTTAAAATTAACCAAATAAAAGGGCGATTTTTTAAATCATCTGATTTTCCCATTCAATAATACAGGAGATTCTAAATATGATAAACTAAAAAAAAAATGTGATAATAGCACCAAATATAATCTTACAAATCAGCCATGAAATAAATTATAAATAACGTAAATTGTAAAAAAAAATTTACAAAATTTTCCTGATTTTAATAGTAATGATTTACTGTTGAAATCAAGGTCAGTTAAAAGGTATTATTTCATATCAAATATTTGTACATCGAATAAAAAATAATACAGAGAATTAAATTCGTTTGTTAAAAATTTTTAAATCAAGAATAATGTTTGTTATATTTAAAAATATATGGAGAAATCAATTTTAATATTCTCCTAAGTCTTTGTTTGTATAGAACATAAATGTTTATAATAATCAATCCTTTATCTTATCTGTGTTTCTAAATACAATAGTTGTAAAAGAATATAATATATATTTTAAAAATATTGCACTACCATATTACACCATTATGCAATTACATACACTGTGATAGCAATAGTATTATACTATAGTGTACACTATATGTATGTAATGAAGTACATAGAATGTATCACACATAGCATATACTATAGCATACACAATGTGTAATACAAATTTAGTGTAATTATAGTTTTACAAGATATAGATTATATATTTTGTATTTGCTGTATTGAAAATATTTTAAATATAAATTTTCAAGATATCAAATTAATGAAAAAAATCTTTACAAACAAATGTTATTGAATATTGAAAATATGAATATATATTGTAATTTTTATGATATTTGCCAAATAAATATGATAGTGTTCATATAAAAATTGATTAAAAAATGTACACAACAAGATAAATGGATATTTTTTATAATGGATAATTTTTTATAATATCACAAACATTACTCAAAATATTTTCTAAATAAAAGTTCAAATTATACATCCATATAATGAATGTATATCTTTAAACAAAGTCAAATAGAACTTAATAATTGATAGTCACAAAAATTAATTTCTACAATTTAATGATCTCAATTAAATGTTAGAATGACCATGGTGGTATTTTCTACATATGAAGTGACAGAACCAAATGAAACATAACTTTAAATGATAGGAACTTATGACTTGTCCTTAATTTTCAACATATAATTTGTACATTATTTTTGCAATTTATGCGTAGGAAATATTGAAAACGTTTTCACTTTCGCTGTTCATCGAAAAATTAAGAAAAATAAGAAAAAAAATTATATGCTTAGTGTAAAATGGTAATCATTGAAATATTTAGAAATTTCTTTCGTATTTCAAAATTGAAATAAAAATATATATATATCTAAATTATATATAGCATTCATATCTATCACATAGTAGCAACTTATCTGCTACAAATTAAAGGATGAAAGAATAATTTCATTCTGCTACATAAAGAATAAGATTATCAAATTATCTGAGCAATTTTTTCGCGATGAAACGAAAGTAAAGTCAAAAAATTCAATGAAATTTCTCAAAATAAAGTAATTACGTATTGTGCGGTCGGCCTGTCGAGGTTAAAGCCCTCGCTGACCGTGGTATTAAAGTCGATGTTGCAAGTTTTCTAGCCGTTGGAATACACGATTTCTCTTCCCTTTTTGTCTCGTGTTGCTCCTTGTCGTTCGATTCAGTGGATTTTGTATCCTTCGATTTGACAATTCTTTTGTTCGAAGAAAGATTATCAACGGGTAATTTATCTGTATGCCCATTTTGACGATGCAAGGTTTCTTCTTGACGAGATTTTATTGTACGTGGTATACGATCGGTCGACTTACGTGGGCTTCTGTTACCATTAAGCTCTCCGAGCAACGGAGGATGATGTCGATCCCATGATTCATTCCATCTGCAAATAAAATAATAAAATTAGCAAAATTTTTTAATTGTTATTGCAGAAATTCTTATAAACATTCGTACAATTTTTTGTTAAGAATTGTGTAAAATGTAATTTATTAATATAAAATACACAACAATACAATTTTAGAAAGCCAAATTTATTTTTTAATTTTTATCTGATGAATGAATCAAAAGTTAAGCAACAATAGAAACTTACCCCACACAGCTATCAAATGCAGCATGAAACATTATTAATTGTAAATCTATTATAAACTCAAAAGAGTGTTTGAAAAAAATGAATTATGCAATCATATTTTCCAACTGATCATATAATTTATCTATTTATAGGACTACATGCTAGGAATTAATATACTAAAAATATTAAAATATTACAAAGATACTTTGAAAGCAAAAATTACATATTTTATATGATATATCATTAAAGTTGTATTTCGAACTGTTGAAAAATTAATTTGTTTAGTTTAATTCAGATTTGTTTGTTACATCAGGATTTGTAATCGAATCATGTGTTTAATATATGTTTTAATTAATTATTAGTAAGTAATTATTAATAGGGCAAATAAAAATTTTAAAATCAACAAATCATTTAAATTGAACAGAATATTATAAATATTTAAAAAAATATTTCTTTTTTTTTTTTTAATTGCATAAATATTATATATATGTATATTTATATATATTATTTATATTTCTCTTTAAAAAAATATTTTTTTTGCTAATATATTACAGATATATTTCTGTTATTAAAAAATTTATAAATAAATATAACATATATACTTTTTAATATTGTAGAAAACTATTAACTTCTATTTATTAATTTTATTTACATTAACTACTCATTATGCATTAATATTATTATTAATAATAATAAAAAGATTCGATTACAAATCCTAATGCAAGATGTCATACCAGACGCTGTTGAATACGGTTAATATTAGTATTTTACATTTCTTGAAATAATTTAATAGAGCAGCATGAAAGAAAAAATAAAAGCAGAATATTGTAATATCATTTTTGCATGCAAAATAAAATTGAGAAAAGTGTTAAAATCGAATGATCAAACAAGTAATCCTAATATAGAAAAGATGCACGAATATAAGGGCATTTAATGCAGAAAGTAGCAAATATCCCAATATTAAGTCACACAAACTGACCGACTCTACCTTCCCGATCCTGAAGCTGTCTCACATGGTATCATCGAAGAAGGGTAATGACCAGAGCAGCAAAAACAATATGTTATTTATGACAAAATTCATGATGTCACATGTGAAAAATATTTATGATATTTGCAAGAGCTGTAAATGTTATGTATGCATGTATGTATTGCACCTAGTTCCTCATTATAACAATGTTTAAATATAAATAGACTACAGATTACAAAATTTCTAAAATTTATTTATAACAATGTAAAAATAATGTCATAATTAAAAATTTAAAGAAGATTTAAAAAGTTCTTTTAAATCATATCTACATGAGAAGATCCTGTATTTTATGAATTTATATATTAAACATATTTCCTATATTCTTTAAATATTTTACCTAATAATTTAAATATAAATACAAATGTCAGAAAAATTTTTAGGAAATCTTATTATTATATCATAAAGTTTTTTTTTAATTAATTCAATAAAAATATTATATTAATTCAATAAACAATATAAATTATAATTTATTATTATTAATATTATTATTCCTTTTGTAAATCGTTCATTGAATTAAAATATTTTAAATATTTTGAAAATGTTCTGATTTTTTTTTATATTTTTAAAATTTTTCTGATTTTTTTAAAAATGAAAAAAAATTAACAAAATGCTTCTAAAACGAAGAAAAAAAAAATCTCACCTAACTAGAGGCCCCATAACATCATCCTGTGGAAGTGTTTGCAGGAGTGATGGTCCTGCCGACACTGGTCGTGTCTGTATTCATAATTAAACATATAATAAATAAATAAATAATGTAACAATAAACAAAATAACAAACAATAAGATATTGTTTAAAAAATCAATAACTACAAAAATCTATAATTATATACCTATATGATAATTATTTATTGTATTAAAAAAAGAGATAATAATAAAATAACAATAATAAAAATTTATATTATATTGTGATTTAAATATAAATGCTATCTACGCCCAATTATTTATTTCACAAAATTTTGTGCCACGTATGAATAAACATATAAGTGATGAGATTAAATATATAATACAAATAATGAATTAAATATTATATTGGTTGTGTTAAATCAATGGAATTACGAAGTCAATAAAATGAATATTGGTATTTCAAATTATTTGAATATTTTATGTGAGACATCTTAGGTAAAAACAATATATGTACAATATATACATTATCACGAATAATTTAAATCAATTATCTATTTTATAATTTTCAACAATTTCATATTTAGTATTAATATAAATTAATCTATTTTAATTTCGTATGATTAAAATTTTTAAGTTAAGTAAAAAAACAAATGACGCGATTTTTATCGAATAATGTAATAAATAAAGTGTGCAATTTAATTATGCTAAATTTAAAAAAAAAAAAATTTATAACTAAAAATGTACTATAAACATATGTATAATACATTGTAAAACTAAAGTGCACAAATAAAAGTTTTGTTTTTCAAAAACTTTATCATCTATTCAGTGGTTACTAGTTTAAAAAAACATCTCTTTTTAACTTATCATATTGCTTTTAGCACGAAGCAAAAATTAATTGTTTTGTGATCATTATTCAAAAATTGATTTCTAAAAAAATATTGTTAAAAATCGGTGAGATGCAAATTGCTAATCATAAGAATTTGACGCTGAATTTTTATAATATTAAAAATGACGAATTATGAACATACCTTTTCTGTTTGCGTAGCAGCATTACAAGTATTTGGAGATGAAAAATTATTATGATTAGTTAAAGCACACGTTTGGCCATCGCCATTAGGTCCTTGAAGTTTCGATATTTGGAACTATAAAAATAAAAAATATTATTTATTTTGTATGAAAATTAAATAGTTGAAAGTTTCCAACTTAGAGATGAATCAAAAAGATATCATTTATCTATAATTTATTTTTTTATATTTTATTAAAAATATATTTGCAATAAAACTTCTTACCTGCAGTACTTGTATAGTTCGATCTCTATCTTCTACTTGACCTTGCAAAAAAACAACTTGTCTACGTAAATCGGCCAATTCATCCGCGATACTACTACCACCACTACCAGGAGAGGTACTAACATCCGCGGTGCCACCTTCATTCATATTATAGAAGAGACCATTCTAAAATTCATAAAAATTTTTATAATGTCATTACAAAATGTCATTACAAAATTGGCAACAGTACAATAAAATTTTAAATCAATAAGAGAAAAGTCATTATTTCATAAATTTTAATATTTTTTATTTCTTAAAAAGAAAAAAATTTGGACTTTTTTGTAAGAAAATATATTTAAAAATAAAACTAACCTTCATGGAGTTGTCGAATGGGTTGAGAGTGTCTACCTGTGAATATAATATAAATTATACGTTATTCAATATTTTATAATTATAAAGATACAATTATATTCTAAATCGTTTAATAATAATATTGAATAATAACGAAAACGATAATAAATATATATCCTGCAAGCATAATAAAAAAGAAATGATATCAAAATAAAAGGTGCAATAAAAAACATACCCTCGTCAAACCGTTCTCTTCTGACTTGAAGATAAAATCATGGTTGATGACAATAATGAAAAAAAAAATAAAAGAGTGCGTATTAATACAAAAGCATACTGATACACATATTATATGAAACAAACGAAAATATTGTGTATTTGTTATTAATAAAATTCATAAATACAAAGAAGTCGTATCAATCCTTTCAATATATGTTCGATATACCTGTTGAAGTACTCGTTTCAGTTTCAGGAGCGTTGTTTTTATAGAAACAATGTCTTGAAACATGTGTTGATAGGTATCACGATCAACTCGAAGACTCCCTTCATCCCCAGAGTCAAGATTTGGTGATTGAATCTGAAATGAAATATTAGAAATGTGAATATATATATATATATTGATTATGCACAGACAATTTTAATGAAAATTATATCTTAAAATAAAATATTATTATTATTATTATTTTAAAATATTTTTTTAAAATAAATATTATAATAAATATTATAATAAATTTTATAATAAATTTTTATAATAAATATTATAAATAAATAAATATTATAATAAATTTTTTTAAAATAAATATTATTTTAAAATATTTTAAAATATTATTTCAATATTAGGAAAAAAACAATCACAATCTAAAATAATTGAACAATAATGGCGATTATAAAAAATTACTTACATTTCTTGATATCCTTAAGGGACTAGAGAATTGGCGATTACGCGTGCTATCTATGGAACGTGGTGAATCAGTCACGGATCTATTTCGCCATATCTTTGTTTTATCACAATCGCTTCTGAAACAAACAATTCATAAGAAAACATTACAATTTGATTTTATTTTTTTTTTCACAATGCTAAGTGAAAATATTTTTCAAACAAAGAATCGAAGATATTTGTTTTATATTTTTATTTCAAAAAAATAATATTGTATTTTTATTTTAATTTCAATCAATGAGTCACAAAACCTACAATTGGCCATTGTTTTAAGAGATGAATCTACCTTCCAGCCTGAATAGTGGCGCGTGGTTTCATCGAGTTATCACCGATATTAATCGGATTGCTTGTGGTTTTTCGTTGCCTTGGTACCGGTGAACCCACTGTAGGTGTCGAACACTCGGAAGACAAGCCAGAATCACGAGCATCTTCGCCGTTTCGATTCGACGAAACTCTGTTCTCATCTTCAACGATCGCATTTCCACTCGCAATTCGAGGTCTTCCGGTTAAAACTGTTCGCTTCTTCGCGCCTCTCGACGACTCCATTACACTCGTACAAACGGTTTGTTCGTTTGTTGAAAATATTCTTTTTCATCGAATATCGCTTCTTACTTATTTCATAATTATTTTTTTTAAGACGGCATTATGGGACGGATTACTAAACACGTGATAAATTTTACAAATGAATGGATATTTCAAATATAAATAAACAAATTAAATAATATTATAGAGTGATTAATTTTGAGTTAAATTACTTTAGATTAGTGTCTATGAATATTCGATATACTCGATCGTGAGAATTCATTGAACTGACTTTCAACGAGTAACCTTTTCTTATATTCTCATTTTTTTCTAGATCGGATTGCGTGACTACAATCTTAACATGCTACTTCTATAAATTATAATTTCGTGTTACAATGTAATAATATATCTTTTTTAAGGAGATATGATTAAATTACAATACTTTTTTTGTATATATAATGTGTTTTCTAATAAGAAAATAAGATATTATAAATCTATTTAAATTAAAAAGAAAAAAAAGAAAGAAATTTTATTAATAAAAAGAAAGAAGAAACAAATTTTTTTGAACTATTTTCAAATCAAAAAAATTAAATTGCTAATAGATTTAATGAACTCGCTACTGTCGATAAGTTAAATAGGTTCCATTAATTAAAGATAGTTACTCCTCCATTGAAATTTTTCGAGAGGTCTGCGTGCTTAACTTTTCTATTGATTACAGTGAATGAGAAAGTGAGTGTCTTTCGAAAGAATTCTGTGCAACCTATACATTTGCAATGATAAAATCATATATCTCGTCTCTTTTAATTAAAATGTGATTATCTCGCAGTCAAATATATACGAGAGAAAATTTCTATATTATCACATCGAAAGAATTTTTATAAATGAGATTTATCAATGATTCGTAATTGTTTTTAAAATTTATATAGAAAATTATTTTTCATCAACATTTTAATCTGCACTAATCTAACACTTTTTTTATTTTTTAGGTAAAAATGAAAAAATAAAAATTATAATAATTTAAAAAATATATGATATTTTTGATATTAAAAAATGAAAGATAAATTATATGAATGATAATATTGTAAAGAATAATAATTAATAATTAATTCATTTAAGAAATTCGAATTGTGCGTAGATTCGTTTACTCAAAATTTTTGCATTTATATACAAATAACATACCTTTGACAATCTTCGATCTTAAATTAAATTCAAGATTATAAAAAAGATATAAAAAGTTTTATCACAAACATCTTTAACTATTTTGAGATCAACATTTTATATCAAATGCAATCTATTATAGAATCAACACCATTGCATCAAACTACAAAAATAATCTTCGTTCTCCAGTTTCTAACCTCTCGACCAAGATTCGTCGAGTTAGCAAATGTGGAACACAGATCGAAACAAAAAGGGACGAGGGTGAGTGAGAGTGAGGGCAACAGGAAAGGGATAGATCCATCACAAGTTATCGGTGTCACGAAAGAACCTGTCAGGTGAACACGAAGCATAGATCCGCGTCACGAAACGCGCGGTCCCGTCACAGATTTAAATAATTCGTTCAATCCCCACTATGGTTTGCGCAATGCGGTGTCCTCGTGCGCGTTTACGATGCACATCGGTAATTTTTAGGATCGACATTTGGCGGGAAATCGAAAAAACATGTGACAAAATGCACGTGACCAAAATTTATCGTTAGATCTAATCGCATATTCTTGCTATTCGCCACTGCTCAGATCGCGATGTTTACCGGCGCTCTGTGATCTCTAAAATGAGCCGGTATATCGTTGCAACTAGTTTCGACTTTCGTTATCGCGCATGCGTAAACCAGATTACAGCGTTTCGTTCGATAACACGAGGAATTGCGCCAAACCGGTGGAAAAGTGGGGATGGCGGGCAAATGAAAAGAATAAAAATTACTCGGCAGACAGACTGAAGAAATTAGTTTTCAAACCTTTGATAATTTAAGAGTGTGAAGAATCGTATCTGATTCGATTATGTATGAGAAGAAAGAGGAATTAGAGGAATGTTGAAGATGGATTATACGATCTTTTATGAATGAATTTTTAAAGCGTAGAAACAGATCTTTTTAAAATCTGTTTAAAACAGATTTTTTTCATAAGATACAAACATTATTTCCTTTATGACATCATTTTTATTTGATCATTTCAGTGAGAAAAGAATTATAAAGAATTAAATAAGATTTTACAAGTAATAATATAAAAACATAATCTACGTTATGTACTAAGAACAGTGAGCCTTTTTGTTTCTAGGAATTTCTAGAATTCATAATAAAATTAAATGAGAAGCAATAATCACATTTATAAAAAAAAAAAGATATAATATATTTTAAATTAAATATTATTTTTAATGAAACTTCATAGATATTTTGGTTAGAAATATTCTCTGTTTATAGGTGTAAAATAAAAATCTTCTTTTCTTCTGTTTCTTTTTCCATTTAGAACAGCACTTTCAAATTATCCAAGTTCCGTCTACGTTTCTTCTAATTGCAGTCTAAAAACTACAGTATACATGTACTACGTGTCAATTATAGTATAGAATTTTTTATTCTATTTTTACGAATATTTCGTAATTTATAAATGTTTTCCTTACAATTTTCTCTCAATAATTTTATAAATTCTCATCTTTTTTCTATTTTTTTTTTTTTTTCATTAAAATACAATTTTCATAATCCTTACGTTACATTGAATTAAAGAGAAAGGAATTAAGAAATTAAAAGATAAATTATATTTTGCAAATAAATAAAATCTATCTTTTCGCTCAAAAATAGTTGGCAATGAAGCAAACGATCAATACTCTTCCGCTCTTTCGACCCTTGACTACGGTTTGGCGTCTCTGGTCTAGCGATTCTCCTTTCGACCCCGTGTCGACGATTCTCTCCCTCGAAACCTGCCACTTTACCGCCAACTTCGTGAATATATGTCGTCTCAATTTTCGCTTCCTGTCGAGACCGAATACCCTCGCGGCGTGTTAAACGCTCCATAAGTCAATAACCCCTATTTGCATTGAAATCGATCCGCAAGAAGAATTCGCAAATCGCTGATGCCCCTCTTTTCGTTCTTATCACTGATTTGTTCACGCTTATCGCACATTTTCGTGCATGAAGATCCGATCATTCAAATTACGCCTTTTTTTTATTTAAACACGCACCTTTTACCCGTACAATAAAATTCTTTTGCAAACTTTAACTTCCCAGAAAATTCTAACGGATCTAAAATCGGATTTGCTTTTCTTTTCAATTAAAAAATATAAAAACGTTTCATTATAAACTTTTTCTTATACAGAAAAAGTAAAATTGATCTTTCAAATCGCGATTAATTTCCTGATTTAATATTTCTTTTTTTTATTTTTCTCTGCGATTATCCCAAGTTCGTTCGCCTCGCGCCATTTCGAATTCCCCGTTGGGGAATTTCGTTTCAATGCGTGATAATCGCATCGATGCAACAACGGCGGAAACGGAATCCGGACGGATCCAAGAATAATCGAATAATTAGCAATTAATGCCTGTCGCGTGGACGATCGATTTCCCTGTGGGGGGAATGCAATGTTCGAAAGTCATCCCTCCCCAGTGGGAGGAGAAACTTCAATCTGCCAATGCCCTTTCCGTCGCGGACCGGCGAGAAACCACCTCCGTTGCCAGAAAGTTTCGACTCTGGAGGATATCCGGCGAGCAACAAAAGCGCGCCGCCGTTTCATTTTACGACGTCCATTAGCATATCATGCATTTCTGAGCGAAACCACCGTTAAAACGAGGGGTGGAGGAGGAGGAGGGGAGGGAAACCACTTGCTCTCTCGGATAACTTATATGGTGCCATTTCACGTGTCGTTTCAACAGACGAATTTTCGATATTAAATGTCTGGTTGTAATACAATATTCTCGTTATTCGAACAATATCTTACTACTAGAGAGATTTATTCAAGAAGAAAATTCGGATTTTCGGATCGATAAAAATAAAAAGCTCTTTTTGAGGCGATAAAATTCATCCCCAAAGTTTTAAAAGGAATATAGTTTCGTCTTGCATTTTTTACGATTAAAATCTGAATGTTTTACGTATTTGAAGTCTCGTATGATTTTACAAAATTATATTTTGAAAAAATATAAAATATTCTTGTAGTAAAATAATATATTCGGAATTTAAGTCTTGCATGCATATTTTTATTGTTAATTATTTTATTTAATTTTGATTAATTTATCGTATATTACGTATATTTCCGGAGTCGTGAGCGAAGGCTACTCTTTAAATTCTTGAAATACTTTTTTACGAAAGTAAATTATACATTTTTGAAAGGAAACATAAACATTTGTTACGAATTTCCAAAAATTTTAGATGAGTAAAGTGATTTTTAAAGATATTCTATGTTGAGTGAGACTCGATCGAAGAAAGTAATGGTAGAAAAAGAAGAAAGGATAAGGGAAGAATACGAAGAAAAACTCGGTTAACTAGTAACGCTCTGATTAATGTCGAAACCGTTCTGCCTGGCATAAATTACCGTCTTCGTGATAGTTAGCCATAGTATTTCGATTTCGCTTCGATCGAGCTAACGGTTCGAAAGAATATCATTATTCCCTTCGTTGAAACGCCTAGCGTTGTAGAAAATGAATTACACGGTTGTGCGCTTATTACGCGTTAAATGTGAAAAGTTAATAAAACAAGAGTAAGTAAACGTGACTGCAAACGTACATAACCGAGACGAAAGTAATATTTTTCGTGGAAACGAAGAAGAAGCTTAATTTAATTCTATTAAATTCTTCAATTATAAATATTAATTCTTTTAAGAAAAATTTTCGATATTATCCTCGAACATAATAAAATAGATTAAAGTTAATTGAATTTAAACTGAAAACGAATATTTTTAATAATTTTAATCATTTCTCATAATCATCATAATTCAACGAAAATTTAATCTAATCCATAACGTCAAGAGTACTTAAAGATAAATAAGTTTCTAAAAGTAACTGAACAGAAATAAAGATTCACTAGAATTAGTAAGGATATGTTGGTTACTTAAAGATAACAAATTTCTAAAAATAACTGAACGAAAATAAATCACTAGAATTCTAGGGATATGTTCAATCCTTGTTAATACCTCGTTAATAAGATACCCGAGATAGAAAACAAACATAATTCACCGTTTATTTATTTAGACCAATAAAACCGTAACTAACACACAAAGCTCGGTGAGCTGTAATTTTTCATTAAACGATTACAGGATATTACTTCAAAGGTTCTATTACTCGGCTAATATATTATATGCCCGCAATAATATCTTGTAAGCGCGCATTAATCAAATACTCGGTTACTTTGATGCCATTTCAGTGCAGCGCATGGTTATTTTCATCGGGACAGGTTATTTACCCGAGATATTTTAATGCAGAATTCCACGGAGAATTGGACAAGGGTACTTTGCCCAAATGGAGCATTGTAAGTATTTCAACATTATATACACGTTAAATGATAATAAATTGAAAATTCGTCGCATTTAATGTGCATAAAATCTTTCAGGATTGTGTCAAAATTGACAAACCCCGATGTGCAATGACGCGTGTCGTGGAAGTATCTGACTCATAACACCGGCTGCAAGTGGTTCGAAATTAGCTGTCAGGGAGTCAATAACAGGGAATTCGAATCAAATTTCGTCCAAGATTAATTAAATTTCCTGCTGATAATTGATCCTATTGTTTAATAATAAAAAAAAAAAAATAAAACAGGTAACAATTTGATAATAATTTTTCTTTCAACGTATATTGCATAAAAGATATTCAATGGAATATTAATCACCGAGAATATTTAAATAAGAGAAAATGATAAATTGGTTTAATAATAATGAATTAATTTCAATAGAAAATTACTCGCTTTAAATACATATCATTGTTTCAACACTCCCATTTAACTTCAAGGCAATGTTAATATATTTTTGTTAAGTAGCGAGATTGTAGTCCCTTGTGTGCAAGGACAAGAACATGTAAAACCGGTTTTGCGGTTAAATAAAAGTAATATACGCTCACATGATTTAATGCAATAACATGATTTGAAAAATATATTCCTTATTTAATTAATTTCAACTATAATCTTCTATAATCTTCATCGGATTAATTTGTCAGAGAAAAAATAAAATAAACTTAAAATCGTGGGAAAATAATATTAAAAAAAAAATTATTTCGATTAATAATTCGAGTAATAAAAAAAGAAAAAAAAATACTGCGCGAATATACATTTCACTATCTTCATTTTTCCATCTCGCAATCGTTATCGTCTGAATCATCAGGAAATTTCTCTTTTGTACAACGCAATCGTAACTTCATAACATATTGTGTTACGTATAAAAAAAATGTGAACGTGCCTTTCGAAACGAAACGCGCATCACGTCTCGTTTCCAATTTTCAATATCAAAATAAACTGTTTCGAAACAAATTTAATACTTATCATAATTTTTTTACACGTCGAAATTATTTACCCATTGGCCGGAGAAATATTAGCTCGCGGAGGGGCACTCTTCGTCACGGATGGCTCCTTCATAGCTTCTTCGATCCTCCACGCTATTTCCCGCCTATTATCCTTGGCCACAATAGCCTTCCAACGATATTTCCCAATCCTTATCCCACGAGGCGCAATAAAAAACACCGTCTCTCCTTCATTTACACCATAAACATCCTCCCCACTTTCTTCCCCAATCTTCCCACAACAATTCTCTTCGGCACACGCGTTCACAACAATTCTCTTCGATCCTTCAACGCGAGCCTCGAACGCGCAATTTGGAAAACTTCTCCAGCCAAACCATAGCCGGCCAATTACCCAACGCGCGACGATCCTCGCTCGAACGTATCGCGCCTCTCTTTCGCTTCTTCCACTTCTATCCGATTATAATCGTTTGCTCGTTTCAAATCGGTACCGATGATTCTCAATATATATATATATATATATATATTACCGAAATCGGTGATATTTTCCTCTCGCTTTCTCGCTATTAAACGCCGCCTATTTACCACCTTCCAAAGGGTTTTTTTTCGTCTCTTCCTTCTTTTTTTTTTCCCTCCCTCTCTTTTTGCTGCTTAACCCTCGGCTCCTCCAGAACTCGGGCAGACGGCGAACACGATTACCGCTTTCCAACGTGAACTACGTGGGGCTCCTGTTAAATGGCTATTAAACCCGGTACGGGTTTTAACGAGTTTACGATTATACTTCACACGCCGGGAACGCCGGTTACTCGAGCAGACCTCGACTCTTTCATTACCCCCGGCCACGCGTATTTTATCGATTGTTTTCACGTTCTCCTACTTTTTCTATTTTTTCTTTTTTTTTTTTTTTTACCGGAGAAAAGGTTTAATTAAATCGAGATTGGTGGAATGGACGATACACGGTGGATGGAAATTGACTTTTTGCGGTGAGTTATATTAAATTGTTCCAAAAAGTTCGTGGTTTTGATGGTCCTGGATTTTGAAAAATACTGATCTGATTTTTTTCTTTAGGTTTTTAAGAATGAATTTAAATGTCTTGAGCTTCTTTTGCGAAATTGAGTATTAATTGTTATATTGGAAATAGTAATATTGGAAAGTTGCAAATAGATTAGATTAATTATGGAATAATTAGATGAATAGTAAAAGTTTTAAGGAAATTGTATAAAACTGCATAAATTGTATGATAAAATATGTAAGTATGATCTAATATCTACCTGAATAATTATTCAGAAAGAATGAAATCATGAAAGTTATGGAAAAATACAGAGAGATTTGTACAATAAAAAGAGAGGTATTTTTGGAACAATCTAATACTATGAGCATTGTATAACGAGTATTAAAAAAATATTCTTTTTATCATTCTTCCAGAAAATTAAAATACGTATCAGCGTTAGCGTATATATCTATATAGAAAAAAAAAATTATTATTATTATCACAAAATATTATATTGAAGAAATTTCGCTTAAAAAAAAAAAATTTCATGTATAATTCAACGATTGTTTTTTTTGTTTTTATATAAAAAATTTACATTTATCGCGGAATAATTATTGAAATTATTTATAGCAATATTAAATTGTGTTTCATAAATAATAAATAATATTACGCCGTTTATATTTTTCATATCATTTTCTTGAATATTGTTTTCATATTTATTATACCAGATAATAAATAGAATAAATATTTTTAAACGTAAGATCGGAAAATAAAACGAACGATATAAATAAATATTGAATCGCTTCGATGTACCAGCATCTGTTAGGATTTTAAATGCAGCCTTTATTTGTTTCGTACATAAATACATCTTCATCAATACAATTGCAACAGCTATTACGAAATTAAACATCTCTCCAACCAAATAGAATAATCTTCAAACGTTAACGAGGATGGGGACTTATTAAAAATACGTAACACATGAATTTTTACAGAAAAATCTGGCTCTTTCCTTCTCCTTATTATTATTATTATTATTATTATTTTCTTCTTCTTCTTTCGTACGAGTAAAATGTTTCGAACGTTTGAAATAAAAATTACATCGAATGGATGAATGGTTTCTCAAAGCACAGATACATTCGTAAATTTTTTTACACTTTTGTGTAAAGTTTAATCTAAAAAATTATCGCATCAATGTAATGAGAATGGTTAATGAGAATTTTTTTTCATTGATGAAAATTTTTTTGGACCGCGGTTTCGATTTAATTATTAAAACTGGTTGAAGTGTTTAAAAGCTAAGGGTTAAAAATTAGGTACACAATTAACACATTCGTTCGTTCGAGTAAAATAATTTATTAGCACCTTTAATGGCGGCATTTCAACTAATTTACGTATTTCCTTGTATCGTTTCAAACGAATAGCGCAAACGAAGCAACATACGTAAAATTGTTTATCAGCTTGATATATCAACGGATAAAATAATTTAAATAGATAGATAATTTGATAAATAATTTGCTACGCGCATAATATGCGTATGTAATGAGAATAATTCTTAATTTCTGACATAACAGAAAATTATATTCGTATTAACATTATTGCAATATATAATACTTTTATTTATTTATTTATATATTTATATATATATATATATTTTTTTTTCTTTCTATGAGTTATCAAGACTATTATCAATTGCAATTCGTAAAGATCATATCAACGTGATATCTGTGATAAGAAGAATCGTAAAATCACGCGATTTTATTGATAATATTCAATCGATCACAATCGAATTATTAAGAGAAATAAAGAGAAAAAGTATTCGAATAAAAATTACGACGCGCCAAAAGAAATTAATCCTGCATATAATACGTTTTGAAAAAAAAAAAAAAAAAATAATGAAAACAATATGTAAATTCAATCTCTATAATCGCACATTATTCTTTTCCATAAAAGAACTGAATTTTCAAATTGAATTCAAAAAAAAAAAAAAACAATAAACTTATATATAATTTCACGATGAATTATCTTTTTCGATAAAATTCTCTTTTATATTCTTTGCACATAGTTGGAAGAACTCGTTAGAAGTGTAAAATTTCTAAAAAACGACGAAACGAAATGGAGTTTAAGATAAACCTATCTTTCTTTAAAATTATCAAAGAAGCATATGTTACAAAGAACAGAAGTGTTCGTGTTTAATAAATATATACATTTGCAATTGTCAACGTATGCAATTGTCTATAATAATTATCTAGTTTTTATATAGACACTTTTATACTTGGCCTTTGTTAATTCCTCGCTCTAAATTCTTACGTAAATGCACACATCGACTGTATACATTTACTAAACACTTCACGCTTTCACTGTAACATATAATTTCTTTTATCGAAAATACTTATATTTCTACTTTAACATAAATAATAAAAATAAAGATACATTTGCCTAATCTCAAATTATCAAAAAAAAAGAAAAGTCCACGATTTGAATGAATACAATGCGGATGATTCGTACGTCATGAATCATAAATGCCGCCAATAAAAAGTCACAAGTGCCTTAACCTCCCCGCCCCCCATAAAATTCCAACCCCCCTTTTTCACCATTGTTTAACCTTCCCTTTCTCGCAACCCTACTCGATCCTCCCTCTAGTTGAAATCGTTCTGGGATGCACGCACAGGAAGGGGGAGAGCATGTATGATTCACGAAACGCACGATACAACGATTACTCCGTTATTGTTCGTATGAATTTTTGTTCGACCGAGGTATCGAGGCACTTAGCAGCGCATCCTTTTTCAAAATCTCACGTAGATCAGCGTTCTCTCCAGCGATATTTTCTCCAGTCGCGACCCTCCTTTCCAAGATAGAATAAATAAAATAATAAATAATAAAAATTTGAGGTTAGAATACGCAAATGCAATCAAAATACTGTCAAAAGACTCGTGGAAAGAAGATTCGCTACTCGGAAAATTGAGAGCCACTGTCGTGGATGGTTCGTGCGTTATTTAGGTCCGTGATACGAGGTGTCTACCATCTCTCTGTTATTTTTTCCTTTTATCGGAAAATTCGAATGTAGTTATGAGTATAGTATATCGAAATGTACTCCAAGATATTGTGTTTATATTGATAGAAAACTATATGCGGATAATATTACGAAATCTAACGTTGTATAATACAATCCTCGTGAATTTGTGTACAGTGTTAATAACAATTAATCGAAAATACATTAATACGTATCCCCTTCGAGCTGAGGTAAGAAGCAGGAGCTGAGTTCGAATACTTGTTGGTAAAGAAGGACGGCCATTTCTGAATTCTTCCTTTTGACGTAATCCAAACTTTGAAACGTTTAGTCAGATTATCTTAGATATATTAAACCCAGTCTAATAAAATAAGAATATCTTAAAAGTTGTTATCCATTTGATATCGCGATGGAGCAACATTTATATTAAAATTAAGTATATTTTAATAGAAAGTGCTCCAGTTTGATGGNTATATATATATATATATATATATATATATATATATATATATATATATGATGTCTCGCATCTTGTGTACAATTGTGAAAATTGTTGTGCCAGTATCATGCTATTATTGGCATACTTTTGAATATGCCAATGCCGATTAAATGCTGAAACAACAATTTCTATAGGGCTGCTGTACAGCATCATCCATTCAAGGAAGCGAAATTATTATAAGTTTGGAGAAAAGAATTAAGGCAAGGAGTGATCGAATAACGGACAGTTAAGATCGTCCATATTGGAAGAGATGTGTTAATTTATCTCGTGCATTCGAGAGCATGAGGGAGTATCAATTTGGTAGACAGAAATTTTCGAGGTTGGTTAGCTAGGATAATTACAAACTCGACCCATGGCCATGAACTTCACCCCCCTCGAGGGTTTTAGTCAACGAGCTTAGTTTACTGGAAACATTTTAGTACACTTAATGGAAGCAAATTGGATTGATATTCGTCGTACGGTTCACTCTAAATTCTTAACAGCTCTCGCTTTATATTTATAAATGCTTATTAAATGCTTGCGTTTAAGAGAGGATATGTATTAATGTTTCAAAATGAGAAGATTAATTCCTGTTGTTGGAAATAATAATTATGTCGCGTTATATGTAACTAGATACGTACGTCCAATGATAAAAATAATATTTTCGCAAAGGAAATACGTATATGATAAACGTATAGGAATTCAATGTAATTTCGCCAATTGGCGAAAGTATACGAAGTTCAAATAATCAATTATTACAATTACATTCGATCACAATTATAATAAACCTATTAGCGATTTTAAAAAAGAAAGAAAAAAAAATAATTCTACGGTAACATCAAATGTACAATTAAAAGATAAACACAACTAATATTTGGCATTACCTCAAATCTACCTATACACTATGTCTATGATGGAAATGATTCGTGAATAATTGACAAATAAAGAGAATGGAATCACAGTGAAACGAAGCAAATTAAAAGAAGCGATCGTGCTGCAATATCCTTTGTAACATGCTTTGTTTTCTTACGTAAAATAGAGAAGAAAGAATAATAGATATATAAAAAAAAAAAAAAAAAAAAAAAAAAAAAAAAAAATGAAGAGAACGGAATAAAACACCGATACTGGCCGTGTTGGTGACGATCAATTCGTTACTTATTCGATATATTATAATAATTAGTATACCTTCTTTCTTATTATTATTATCATTATTATTATTATTATTATTATTATTATTATTAATATTATTATTATTATTATTATAGATAATAATAACACTGGGAATCGAGTACGAATACGACGATGTAATCTACTCACTTTCTATACGCCATATATTTATCGATTTAAGCGACGATTAAATTGGATCAGCTAGCAGACTAGAAAACACACTGAAAAAGGGAAAAAAATCGAACCTAAAAAGCGGTTCGGATTTTATTTTTTTATTTTTATTTTTTTTTTTTTTTTTTTTTTCTTCTTCTTCTTCTTTCGGAACTTTGACAAGGACGAAAGTTATCGGACGTGACGAAGGCTCGTATGAAATTGGAAAAATAATTTCTATCGTAATTCATGCTACTTGTCATCATCAGTGTTTATCATCTTCTTTTTATTATCCTTATCTGCTTGTGCTAGCGTTTTTTTTTTTTTTTTTTCTTTTTCTTTTTCTTTTTTTCCTATCCAAACGACTACGTATAGTGTTTCCGTAGCGATGCGAATACAATCACCGATTGAGAACAAAATTTGGAAAAGTTTGCTCTCGATAGTATGTGGAGTGGATGCGATCCCATAGTATGTGAGAAATATCGGATCGAGAGAAACGATTCTCGAGAATTTCAACTTCTCAAACAACTTCTCCTCTCATCATCATTGATTAAAACCACGTTGTTAAAAGCTTATCGGAAAAATTAATTTCGTCGCCGAAAATTGGATATTTTTCACGCGTGTAAAATTATTTTATCATTGTTATTCGCCATTTCATTTCTTTCTTTCTTTCTTTCTTTCTTTCTTTTTTGTTCGAGAGACCTTGTTTTAAAAAAGGTCCCGTTATGCCTGATTACTGTCCCTAAGTGTGTAATTACGTCCGTGTGTTCTCAACACTATGCCGACTTAGTCGCTGCGATTTAGTGTGGTTTCGCTAGTCGACAGAGAAGGGCCGGCGGGTTGTGGTCGCTAGTTAGGATATGTCAGCTGGTAGTAGTCCCCACCCGCGGAGTCCTCATCGGGGCTTTGCAATTGCTTCACTCGCTTTATTAGCGCGCTAGAACACAAAATACTATCGCTGAATTGACGTTCTTGCAATTTTTTTTTTTTTGTTTTTTTAAATTTCTTTAATTCTTTTCTTTTGCGAATTTAAATATTTACCTTCACTACGATACTTTCGTTTTCTAAGAGAGAGAGAGAGAGAGAGAGAGAAAAGGCTCGATCGATCGAGGAATATAACGACCGATACCGATTTTCATTCCACGCGATTGTTAATTTCTAATCGTATCGCGCGAGTGTAACAAATGTAAGATTGATTCGAAAGAAAATTAAATTGTTGTTGCTTCTCATCAAAAAAAAAAAAAAAAAAAAAAANAAAAGAAAAGAAAAGAAAAGAAAACGAAATAAGGCTACGTACAGAACATCTCATGATTTAACTGAAAATTGAAAATTTATAAAAAAGAATATTGAACAGAATATTGAACAGGGACAAAAGAAGCAAAACAAAAAAGGCTTGAAGAAGATTTTACACCTGTGTTTCCCAATACGTGTAATGTAAAATTTGTTCGAAATCAAATTAAATATAATTTTATCTACGTTCCCTTTTCGAAATATAACGTTTGATTGTTGAAACGGCATAAAAATCTATCGAGATATTATGAGATGATATTGAAGTGTAACTAGAGAAAAATTTGGGAAACACTTGTTGCATCGTGAAAATTACTGACGAATTTACTTTTTTTTTCTTTTTACAGGATGAAATTGCAAACACGATCTTCCCCCTCAAAATTAAAAATAAAAACGCGAAAAAAGGCATGAGAGGCAGAGTAATCGTGTGAAAATTTAACGAGCAGTCGTTTCTTATATGATATTGAGAGGACCGTGAGGATGAAAACTCTGTGTTATTATTGTGTTAATATTTCCCACAAATTTGCTTTCATTTTCAAGGATAATCTCTTCCTTTCGCAAACTTTTCTTCTTCGTTGTTTCGTGCGACGATTATTTTATCCAAGAATTTTCTATTTTATCTCGTTACGATTAAAACATTCTAAAAACATCCAATCATTCGCTATAAATTCTATTCTATCAGATCATTCCACAAGTAATTTTGCAAGAAAATCCAATTACATTTGTTGTAAGTTTTTGAAACGAAATCAAATCTTCAAAGAAGAGTAATTCCAACAATTTGCTTAGTCTTTTTTCCCATTTTGAATATTAATAATTAATAGATTAATATACAACTGTATGTAGATGTTAATATACATATTAAATCCTGTTCTTTTAATCTATTTTATTGAAAGTTCAGCGTTTGTTATTTTTATAAAATTTTAAATAGTTAAAAAAATTTTAATCAAAGAATTAAACAAATTTTTGAGAGAATTAGAAAGAGAATTAAAAAAGAGAATTAAAAAAATTGCAATTACTCAAGGGATGATCCAATATTATCAATTGTGGCGATCACGATTAAAAATTATTTTATAATGATATTAAAAGGTCGCATATACTGGGAAACACTGGCATAATTAAATAATCCTAATAATAATAATAAAATTTTCCTAATAATAATAAGAGGAAATTCTTTTTTTTTTTTTTTTTTTTTTACAAAGACGTGGATTAAACAAAAGCATATGAAAAAAGCAAGACAAACTTAGACAAGAAACAGAATTTTAGCCTCTAATTACAAAGTACAGAGTTAATGAATCGGTACGATATGACACAAGATTATTTTGCCACAAACATATTACCGCTTAATATTACTCTAATATTCTGCATTACAATATTTTTGCTTTGAAATTAAATATTAATTACTGTTGTCGATGCGATTCCATTAAAGTTATGGACGTGTAAAGATAACAAATCGTCATTCATCATTTAAAATTTCAATTTACTACGATTATTCTAAGTTACATTGCAGATTGGAGAAAATCTACGAGGGAAAAAAATTGATTTAAATGTTGTCATCAAATTTTCATCACGCAAACTAGATAGATAGATTTTGCATGCAGCATACATGATAAAAAGCGCAATTAAATAATTAAATAAATTTACAAGGGAACTACATCGAAAAAAGTAATAGCTATAATAAGTCTAGTGATTTAAACGATACGTCGAATACGATGCAAAACTACAAAGAAACTTAGTCTGCGGTATATGATGATACAGGTGAGAAAGAAGGATTGTATCAAATTTTCTAAATATCAAGTAACCATTTCGATAAACATCACGTAACTTGTGACTGGTAATAGAACTGGATAACTAATATTGTTCATTAAATATTATTCGTATGTATGACAAATAATATACATGTTAAGTCAGAAAGAAAAATATGTAGTGTATATTATGGAGTACATTTCATCTCATGATAATAAGTGTCATTGTTAAAAAATTATTCTTTGTAATATAAACCTACTAAGTAAGCTAGCTCCTCTTCTTGTAATGCAAATCTGTTTTTAAAATTAATTTTTCCTTGTACTTTTTATTATACCTATTTAATTTAATTTTTCCTCGATATCAATTTCCTTCGTATTATCATATGAAATTTTTGCAATTAATGCAAAAAATGTGTATATTATTGTATAATAAAATAAACGGTTTTATTTTATCTAGAGATTTCATTGATATCTTAACGCTAACGCTGATAGTGTATTGTTAATCTTCTTTTTTAAATCTTTCTCACAAAGTTATCTATTTCATTTCGCGTTTTTGAAAAATGAAAACGTATAAATGTATCGTTAATACGCTTTTCATAAAAAAAAAAAAAAAAAAAAAAAAATAAATTACTCACTACAAGATAAGATATATTGTTTTAATTGTCGTTTGTTAAATATTTTATTAAATATTAAGTTACGTTTCAAAGAATTTCTTAATAAAGTTTAGATAAACGATCTATGTTGTCCTCTTTTACTTTGCACTGTGTATATTAATCACTACTGCATAGTCACTTCGCTTTTCTGTGAATAAAAAGAATAGAGAAACACGATAACGGCACGTGATTGAATATTACACACAATACGAACAGTAAGAGCGCACACGCGTTACTAACAGTAGTAACAACCGCGTTCCGCGTTTCAAGCTCGAATTGCCGGCGACGCCATGATACCTATCTGAGTCAGCGAATAGGGGAGAAGGTAACCCAGAAGAGGGGATGACATATGAGTCACGCGCAAACGCGCGCCAAATTTGTTTTTGAATACTCGTATGAAATATTGCAACAATAAATAATTTTAAAAAATAATATAAAAGAATGAATGATTATTTTAAAAATACAATTAAAAATAGTATTAATTATAGCACGTATAATAAAATTCGTTATTAAAAATATGTGATAATAATTAATAACAATTTATTTTGTAGAAAATGATGTATCTATTTTTGACGAATATTTAAAAATATTGTTTTATGTTTCTCTCTAAGAAAAATATCTTTTTCTTTTATCTCATAAGTAAGCGTGCAAATAATTTCTATAGTTAATTTCTATAGTTATTGATTTCAGAATGAATAAGTGAGATATCTTGCTTACTAAAGGATAGTCTGCATAGTCGAGAATACAGACAGTAGTTTTAAATGGATGAGACATTGCTTTATTCCTCACAGAATAATGTCTCTCGTATATATCATAAACTTCGACGTATATTCCATAAATGTATCCATTGAAATAATTCCATTTAATCCATCTATTCTCAGATGAACAATATTTTGAAAAACTTTTGATTTAAAAAAAGAAATGTACATAATATTTTTCAAATATCAATGAGTAAAAAGTATTTATATTAAAGTTTATATCGTGTCATCATTTATTATTTATATTATCTTGAATAAAAGAGATAATCTTATCAAGATTGATGTTTCTTACTTTTAATTTTCACATAGATGTTGTATATTGATAATATTATTGATAATATTGATAATTTATAATATATATAGAAAATATGTTTGACAACAAAAGTTGTCAACATTACTATAAAAATATTTTGCACAATTATACTGAATATAAACTATTAATTCAACACATGCTTAAAAAAGATACATGCATTTAAACAATAGTAAAACAGTAACATAAAACTAATGATTTAAAATATTTTTAATATATATTTTTTAATGAAATATATTTCTTTTAATTTTATATATTATAATTTATAACACAATTATAAAGTAAAATTCTATAGAGATTAATAAAAAAAAATTGAAATAAAATTAAAAATAGATAAATTTAAAAAAAAAAATTATGTTAATTATGATATACTTAGAAAGAATAATAAATATTCACAGATTTTTATATATTTTATATAATCTATAGTAGTTACACAACTTACCTTACATATCCTAAAATTTAAAATTTTACCAATACAAAAATACGTACTATTTTTTAAATATTTCATAAAAATCTCAATAAATACATTAATTTTTTAATCTTTTTACGAAAAAAATGAATTTCTGCATAATTAATTTAGCGAATTTATATTTGTTTAACTTTGAATATTAAATAATGAAATATATAAAAAAAATTATTAAATTACAGACAAAATTTTCTAATATCATTAAATTCAATACACAGATAAACACTATATTGAATTAATGATGAAACGCGACATTTCATTATCCCTATTTTATTATACCGTATAAAAATATATAAATTCTTAATGTAAATTCTTATATATATAAAATACGACGAAGCAACATATAATGTAAATGTATAAAACACAATCAAAAGAAGCATTTTAAAAGCTACAAAAGAATTATGCGTTTTTTGAAATACATTAATACCAATGGCAATAGGGACATTGTACTAGAGACAAAATAATATCAAAATAAAAAAATAAAAATATGTTAGTATTGTTAAAATTTTGCTCAAAATATATTTTATTCCGAATGTAATTATATCTGTCGCAAAATCATGCGATGTTTTAAATCACGAATAGTATAAAGCGGTTAAGAATTTCAAAAAGCAATATAAAATTTTAAATACACACCCTATATCGTTGGCTGGTTGATTATTATTATTGGCTGATCCAGCGTTCACGTTGTTGTTAATTGTGTTGGAATTATTAGTTTGTTGCAGCGTTTGACTCAACAAAGAGGACCATTGCCTCATCACATCTTCACCTTGAGCTTCCAATTCGGAAAGAATGGTAGCATTATCCATATCTTGCAATGCCGTGCCGGTCTCCACTCTAAAATATATTCATAAAAATATTTAGCATTATTTTGTTTAATAATAATTCAAACTTTCAAATATGTCATTCTCTTGCAGCAAGCGAGTTATAAAGTGCATCATTTTATTTACATTTTAATAAAATTTGTATTTGTTTTTAATCACTATCTCAACAATTATCGAAAAGAACAAAGATCAATTGAAAATATTGATTTTACAATTGTCAATTTCACACTGATTAAATTAATTGCATATACTTGTAAGAATTACTATTAAGAATAACAGTATAATTGAAAATAACAATTAACAAGAATGACAAACACTTTATACGTAAAAAAATTTCAGGAGAACAAGCATATTTATATAAAACTACTGTATAACACGAACCGTTGTTCTTCATAGGAGCTTGCATCGCTGTGCTCATAATCTAATATCAAGTCATCAGAAGCAATAGATTCACAAGGGGATAAAGTATCGACACTGCCGGCTCGGCTTATTCGTTTACCATGGTGAGGGCTGTTAGTTGCGTTTTTTCCATGTCCTGCACCTTAAATAAAAGAAGAAATAACATTAATTTGTAAGTACCATTCTCACCTTGCGTCGCATCATTTATACCTATATAAAATTAAATATTTACCTGTTTTAGGACTGGACTCGACCAGAGTGTGACTATTCTCGGTAACGACTTGGCTAACCATAGCAGACTGAGTCTCGGCACCGGCCCTCGAATTGTCGTCGAAAACGAGGCCAGGTTGATCAGCGATTTCATCGTCGAAATACTCTCTACCCTCTGACAAGCTCAACGAATTGGAAGCGTTCGTTGGCGTTCCAGGGCTATCATCGTCGATCGCTGTCCCAGATTGTTCCATCGCGTTCTCCTTCTTCGGAGTTTTCGTATCGGACTGGGTAATACTGGCTGTAAGGCTGTCGAAAAGGCTATCAACGGGCGAGGTTTCGTCATCTATGAGAGTGGTCGGCGTTGCCGCGGCTGCGGCAAACGCAGGATCCTCTATGGTGAGGAGGACAGAGCGCAAAGCAGTTTTGGGAAGCGTTCCAGATTTAGCTAGATTCGAGGATGTTTGCAAATGTTGGGCAGAGCTTGACCTCTGACACTCGTCGCTCGAGCTTAACGAGTACTCGTCGGCCATCGCTTCCCCGTGGCCGTACTCAGGATCGTCGGAACTCGGCGGGCTGAAGTCCGACTTGATGGAGGGAATCTTCTCGGAATGCGACCTGTCTTTGTAAACCTTCTCCTCCCCCAATCCTTCGTCGTAACCTTCCGAGGACGTGGTGGACATGGACGTGGTCGACTCGGTGTACCTGTTGTCCTTGTTCACGATCCTTTGATACTGCGTTGCCCTTTCCCTCACCAATCCTGTGTTCGCCGAGGTGAACGTTTTCGGCAACGGTATTACGGATATTTCCGTTACCGTGCTGTCGTCGTCCCTCACGTCCCTCACGTCGAAACTCTTCCCGCTCACAACCATCCTTAAATTCCTAAGTCTGCCCGCACCGTGCCTTCTCAACAGAGACCCGTCCCCGTAATCCATCCCCCTCAAATCGTTCTCGGGGCAGCCTTGCTGGCTACCCACCCCGGAATCCTCGGTGCTCGACCCCTCTTTCGAGCTCGTCGAGCTCTTCGACGCCGCGGACACCTTCCTACTTTGATTCGCGGCGGTCTTCGCGATCTTCGAGTTCGCGTCTGTCATTCTTACGGCGTACTGTGGCAACGGCAGGTGGCTCGTGTGCAGCGTGTACCTGCCTACGGGCTCCGGTATACCGGACACCCTTCGATTCCCGTCCATATGGGCGCCACCGTTGTTGAACGAGACAGTGTTGTGCACGGGCGACGATTTCACCTTGAACGTCGGTTGCGCAACTTGGCTCGATACCTGCCCACCACCCACCACCACCCTGTGCGGCTGCTTCACGAAACCGCCCTCCTGTTTCTCTTGATTGTAGTGGCTCACGGTGTGGCTGCTGCATATGTCGCCAACCTTGTTCGTGAATTTGCTTTGCGGTTGCCTGTAACCGAATCGATTCGTCCTCACTGCGATCCCGCTCGATTCTTTCTTGGGGGGCGCGAGGCGGGGCGTGGATCGGCCGGATGACGAATTGTGAATCGCGTTGCCGGTGTCCTCGTCCCCTCGCCTTCGATTCTGCTCGGGCCCGGCCGACTTCGATCGTTGGTGGAACACGCTCGACTCGCTCGTGTAATTGTTTATCGGCATCGGTATCCCGGAGGCCGGTCTTCGCCGAAACCCGAACGACATGGCCGTGCCACGCGTGTGAGTCCCGCCACGCTTCGACGCCCCTTTATGCTCGTTCTGTAACATTCGGTAAAAGAGAACATCGGGAGTGAGAGAACGCCAAGAATCCCGGCAATCTTTTCAGACCACGCATCTCCCCGCTACCGGAGGAGACAGATTTTACGCTCGTACCTTGAGAGTTCTCGAGGATCGATAAAATCAAATGGAACACATTTTCCAAACAAAATTGTTATTTTCTTTTTATTTCGCATGTAGGCGTGTACGGTTTGACGAGAATATATATACATATACATATATAGAGGGACATCGATTGTTCGAACTTATTGGATTTTGTTTTTAGTTTGAAGAATCATTTTTATCGTGTAAAAGAATTCAATGGAAGAATATTAGAGATGATGGAACAATTGAGAGATGAAAGAATTGTCATTGATTGGCTACTACATTTAATCAGTGAATAACCAAATATGGATAATCGACATTCGGATAATGTAAATACAAAAAACGCAATTGCGAGAATATCGAAGTCTAAGAAGGTCTAAGGTCGCGGACTTGGATTTATTTTGTCATATTACATCGGTATATTGCGTCAAGGCGGACAGAATTTGCGAAGGGTAGATAAATGTGAACAAATGTAACGGATAGTTAAAATTTCTGTTTCAAGTGAATACTTATATGAGAAAGATCGGTCGACATTGATCGTAAAATTTTATGTAATTATGTTTTTTCTAATTGAAGATAAAGATTTTTCGCTAATAATTTTTAACGTTCTACAAATTTTAGAGATTATAGGTAACATTGTATGATATAAATATATAAATAAATATTAATTAAATTTTTAAAATAACATAAATTTTGAGTGGTAAAATTCTTGCTGCTATTTTTTCATAAAATAAAATTCCTCGTTTTGTAAAATGTTTCAAAATTTCTCTTAAAAATAATTTACGTTAAGAAAGAACTTGATTTAATTACCGCCCTCATTTTTAAATTGGATATACCTTTTTTATTCATATCTAATTCTACGTATATAACGTTTTTTGCTTCCATAAAAAGAATATATATATATATATATATATATATATATTCGATAAATTTCTTTTTGGATTCAGAATTTGATATAGGACAAAAGAAAAATCGACTTTGATACACTGTTTCGCAAAATATTATTAATTAAAGGTATCATCTGATTTGATATCGCGTATCGATAACATTGCAATTTATCGATGATCATCAGTACAGTAGATAAAATCACAGCAAAACTAAAAGTTGAAAAATGTGAAGTAACCCGTTTCAAAGTCCAGAAATAGAGCAACTCCGTCCCTAAATCGACGAACTTTTTCGTATACGCGTTCTACGAATCACAAAATGATACATTTCTAATTGTAATAATATCCGAATATGTGTGATTAATTGGATTTACGTACTAAATGCAAGAAAAATCACGTAAAAGCAATGAAAACCAATAAAAAAAACTCCTTACGTAATTAATTATTGAGTGTTGAATTCGATTAAATGATATCATAATTAAATGCCTTTTCATTAAACCAATTTCGACACACGTGGCTACCACTCAACGTAATGAAACACTTTCTTTATCGTCCCTCTGTCATGCGATTTGCGATAAAATCTTCTTAATTGATCATTATTCTATTAAATCATAATAGGACAGAAATCCGCATCAACATTATTTTGGCGCATGAATCTTGCAATGTGTCGTCATACATGACACTAATCCTTGTCATATTATTTATCACCTGAAGCACTGCGGCAAGAAAGATACTATGCTTCACACGGAATGAACAATCGAGAATCATGATTGAACGGTGAAGTTTGATAATTCCGTGGCGATATCCAAAGGGAAGAAAAAAGAAAAGTCCTACAAAGAACGTGGAAATATTTATCGCGCAAAAGTGATGGTGAACGATGCCATAGCCTAAAAGGTTACGACGAAATACGATCGTCGATCGAAAGCACATACAGAACGATGTATCCCTTACCGCAACACCAATTCCTTTCTCGTTCTCCAGGGAATCATCCTCGCACCTGGTGCCAACAGACGACCGGTAATCCATGTCTTCGGGCCAGTGTCACCCGGCTGTTAAGAAGACTGTATTACGATCGATCCCGGCGTCCAGCTTGCGAGAAAGTTACGTTAGTTTCTTCTAAATCCGCAACGTCGTCATCCTGCACGGCTGTGCGTGAATATTTTTAACCGAGGGAGGCACGAGAGCCGAAATTTACACGGCTATGTTTTTTCAGCTCGAACAAACCTTCCCCGTAATCTGTCACCTCTTTCGGATGCTGTACGCGTTCAGCTCGTACGCGTTGTCGCTAAAAGACACGCGCACCAATACCTCCTCTGACTCTCCCTCTTTCGTCTCCCTAACCTCACTCCGTCCTCTCACTCTGTCACTCTCTTTCTTCCCTCGCTGCTTCCTTCTCTTTCTTTCTAAAGTTCACCCTCGCGCTCAATCCTCGACCAGCATATAGCCCCTTTTCTTCTTTACGCCTGAGTTCGTGTGTGCTCGTCACTGTTCGCGTTTCCTCGCCACTACACGGGCAGACGAAATCGTGGAATCGATTGACGGTACTGCGCCAGCGCGGCGTCGCGACGCCACCGCACACTATCGTAACACTCGCATAGACTGCGAACGACTGATGTCACGAGTGCGCCCGCGCCGTGTTTGCCTTTCGATGTATTTCTATATCTAAGTATTACGCTTTTGTCGGCCTCCCTCTGTTCCTATCTGTACAGTGACATGCACAAAAAGCGGACCATCAAACTTAACCTTCTCATCCGGCAAGGGCTCAATTCTTACCGTTTAACGATCACGATAGTATGCACTCGTACTGTCTAGTTGATCCCGAGTAATCGCATTACCGACTGGTTCATGTTCGAATGTTTTAGGAGCGGTTCTATGGATATACAATACCGGTGAATGTTCATTACACAATTTTGAGAAATCGTGAGAATAAAGTATTTTATATATTATATATATATATAATATATTTATTTTTTTTTAATTGATTCATTTGATGCTAATCTAAAACACTTTCCAAGTTTCATCCTTTTTTTCCCTTTTTTTTTAAATTCTTTTTTCTTCTTTTTCTTTAAATTCAATTATTTGTATATATCTTTTCATAGATACATTTATCCGATAACCTTTATTTATCAAATTATTAAATTGAATTACAATCAATTTAAATCTCTATTTTTAAATCAAATATTTAAAGTATATATGTATATTCTTTCTTGGTTCTGACCTATAAATATACCTGCTGCTTGTTTTTTTAGTAAGTGTTAACCTATCTCGTGAAAGAGTTACTTTTAAATATATGTTCTTTTTAATCTGGATCTTCTGAGAGATTTTGTGAGAATATAAGAAATTTAAATCTTAATCTAAGAGAATAAAATAATAGTGTTAAAATAAAATTTAAATTGTTAAAATATTTAATGAATTATATAAAATATATTTATTTTATTCAATAATGAAAATGAATCCTGGAATAATGAAAGAATTATATTACAAGATTAATATAAATATATAATAAATTCGTCTCTATCAGGAAACGATCGTTATGTAACTATTATATACAAAATGATTAAATGATTTGTGCCATTTGTGAAAATTATTGTATTCTGTTTACTTTTCATTTGTGTACACGTTGTACACGTTGAGATACACATGCAATTACACATGAATGCATGCATTTTGATTTAAGGTGAATACTGTATGAAAATACGCAAAGATAAAGCATGCAACGAGTGGAAAATTAAATGCCAGACAAAGAATTTGTTTCATACTTTAGTTCGAATTAGTTCATTTACATCTTGGGATATTATGTTTCTAGAAATTAAATTGGATTTCTAACTAATCCATTGAATACACTATACTCGTTGGTTACTAGATTTTCATACAAAAAATTTTTAAAAATTATTTTAATAATTTTAAATATATAATTATGATATTGAAAAATTATTTAGAATATTTCATATTTTCCTTTAAAATAAACATCAATGAATATGATATTAATTTTTTCCTTTTTATTATGAATTGCTAATAATTTCTACTTATATTTCATATTATGTGTTTATTGATATATTACATTGAGCAAAGCTTCACACAATATTTAATTTCAGCTTTTATTATCAATTTCATTTAATATCTAAGAAATTATTAGAAATTATCTAACAATCTTGCTATTATGATGCATTTAGTTTATCTTATCTTTGTTTTTATTTTCATATTTTATGTATATTTTCAATTTTTTTTTTTTTTTTGATAATATTCATTTTTCCATTGATTTCATTATACATTGTCCTATATATAAGTAAGAAACAAATATTGCAATATCCACATCGATATTTCGATCGTTATTTCGTTTTACGTAAAAATACACAATTGGCTGATTCCTAGGGTGGTGCCTCTTCTAGGAAAAGGGTAACGCAGAAAAATTAACTCATATATATTATACGTATACATGTACACAATGAATTCAAGCAATTAATTGCATTGATCGAGAGTGTTTCACAACGATTGTGATTCATGATCACGTTGTTTCGATTTAAAATCCAAAAAAAGTTTACTACGCAATCCTAAAATTAAAATTAAAAAAATAGCAAAAAATTTTGAATTTTTTATCCATTATTTTTAAATATTATCGTATATTATTAATTTTGAATATTGATAAAATTTGGTTTGAAGAAATACATGCTAGATAACACGGACATGAAACTATGAAACCAAACATCTGTGTTATCACCAACTCGAATCCGAGAAGAGAATATAAAGAGCATGTGCCACGGAACTTCACACAATATCCCTTTCAGACTGCAAGATAAGCTTTCTCATGTTCTTCAGCCTTGTAACTAGACATTCTAAGTCTTATGCTTTATAATTCTCCTGAGAGAACTAGTATGCAGCACTACTTGAATACTCTTCTCTCGTCCACCCTTTCTCCTCATTAATATTGCAACTCCATGCAGGAGGTTCAACCCTCGGTCAAAAACGCGCGGTGAAAGAACTGCATTTTCTCGTAGTAATATACTACATTTGAGTAAATATATTATTTTGTATTTTATAGATTATATAATAGAATGTGCATTATATTTATTTTAGCAAACATAAAAATATTAGTGATAATTTAAAAATATTAGTGATAGAAAACTTCTAATTGTTACTAATTAAGAAAAGAGATTTACATAATTATATTAATTGTTAATGTATTGTGAAAGGAATGAATAAATTAAAATAATAATTATGTTAATTAGAATGAAATATTTTTTTTAATGGCATTCAGTTGACAATTAGAATAATAATAACAAAAATAAACTACGTAGAAAAAATTTTTTTACTTGCATTATCACTTTGTACAAAAAGATTTTTTTTCAATTTTATATTATTAATTTATCAAGGATTTTATAAAATAATTTCAGCATCATTATAGACATAACCTCTCACGAATATATTATTATGAATTTTATTTAAAATCTATGAATTGTATTTAAAATATTTTTGTAGATTTTGCTTTGAAAAAGTATATTTTAAGATTAAGATAAAATAATAGCATTATCTTTAAAATATTATTTAATAAAACACCTCATTTAATCACTTTCAAAAGTAAAAAGAATAAAAAAACGCATTTTCCAAGATTAAGCAAACTGTGCATAAAAAAAGCGAATTTTCTTGTTTTATTTACAACATAAAAAAAATTGACAGATAATACTGATAATTAGCGCGACGTCGATCAAATTCTTCTTCTTTTACAACATTATTGTAAAAATGATGAATAATCACACTTTAACATGAGATTTTTCTCTCCTTCTATTTTTCAATATTCCTAGTCATTGTATCTCACTTCACTTTGTCAGCATGTTTTAACATAGGTCAACAGGCTTTACTTTTACGTCATAACCTCATTATTAAAATATGTCAAAAATTATCTGATATTTCTTTAAATATTTTTTTTAAATACTTAAATAACAAATAATTATGTAATTTATGTAATGTTTTTGTTCATTTATAAGTTAATCTCACAAATTAATTTATTTGGCATTTCAATTTTTTAATTTAATTAAAAAAAATAATATAGTATAATTAAAAACATATAATTGATGTTATATTTAATATTTTTCATTTTTATTTTTTTATTTGAATTGTTAAGAAAAAAAATCTAAATAAAATTAAAATATTTTATTATGAAAATAAGATATAAAATAGTTTTTAAATAATTGAATTATAATTAGTAAATATTACAATAATATTATTCATATGCACTAAATTAATTATTATTCATATTATTCATATACACTAAATTATCAAAATAATGTCAATATTTAACTAAAAAATTATTATATTTAATTTATTATATTTATTATTTTTTTATTATTATAATAAAAAATATTATATATTATATATTATAATATATAATATATAATATAATATTATATATTATAATTTTATTATTATATTTAACTAAAAAATTAAAAAAATTCAATATCAATTCTATCTATATATATATAAATATATGTGTGTAAATAATGTGAAAAGTAACAATACTTTTCTGTAGTATTCTGCCATCTAGTGTAACATTGAGGAATTATTTAAATAATCAGCAGAAGATAAATTGTATTAAATATTGGTTAAAAATTTAAAAATTTTTTAAATTATTAAGACATATGACATAATCTAAAAACAAATATTATATTTAAAATAATATTTATTAAAATAAATTTTTTATTAATAATGGAAACATTGAAAATAATTAATATTATTATAATTAATATATAATAATTAATATAAATAATTAATATAATAATAATAATAACATTATTATTTTCTATATTATCGATTCAACAGAAAATAATTTATTATTTTTCACATAAATCATTTAAACCGTATAAAAAATTAATTTATATATTTTTATATATCAGTATACTTTCAAATAAAATAAATCTGAAAATGAATATTCTATTGAAATAATAATAATATTGTATTAAGATTTTTATATATATTTATTCGATTGTAAACATTCATCTCAATCACTTATAATCAGATATTTACGCTCAAGTTATTTCTCTCTCGAAATTTAGATTTATATATGAATTCTTTCTAACAAAATATGCATGAAACTTTCTTTATAAGGAAATGAATGCAAAGATAAAAATCCTATTAGCGAAAAAAAAGATAGCAAAGAAATTCGACAAAAAATGGAGAAACTTCTTCTTTCTCGTATCTCGAGCATAGGTTGATTCTCCTAGTTTCTCGTTCTTTTTTTTTTTTTCTTTAACATTGTTTCCGGTTAGCGGATGCTCGCCATGAAACCAACTGGCATAACGGAGAACAATGGAAAACGGATATAATGAAAGGAAAGAGCAAGAACTACGCTCGAGTGAATTAGCATTGGTGATGAACTTAACAATTAATTACTTTCACATATCACGACCGGTCAGGCAAAATAGTCGTGCAAAAAACATAGATATATAACATTCTTTTATACATAATTAATGCATGTTGTCAATCATGTAAGACTTGTACCGTAAAAAACAATTATTGCTCATATCTAAATAAAAATTATATATCATATATTAATTAACATTCAAAATAACTTTCGTAATTATTTTTTAATAATATTTGAAAAATATCAAATTTTTCAAATTTTTGTATACATAATTTGAAATTTTCAATTTCCTACAAGAAGAAAATATTTTTTAAAAGATTTAAGAGAGAAAAAAAGCACGCAGACTTTCGCTAAAATATACAAAATCCATAATCTTACGTGTCTCTATCATTTTATAGGCAATCGAATAACGTAATTGTACATGTCCGGCAAACGACAGGTTACTAGTATTACATAATTAAATAATGAAAAATTTAATATTTCTCTTTACATTGTTTATTGTTAT